GTTATAACGAAAAATCTCATATCTGAACAATCAGTTGTATGGGAGCTATATGTTATAGTGGTCCGATTCTTCCGGTTCCGACAAATGATTAATACATTATAAAAATACACTTACCTACCAAATTTGATACGGATATCTCGAAAACTGAGAGACTAGATTGCATACAAACAGACGGACAGACAGACAGACGGACAGACGGACATGGCTAAATCAACTCAGCTCGACGTTCTGATCATATAAGTATACATTTTAATGGGTCTATCTCTTTTTGTTCTGGTACTTACAAACATCGGACCAAAGTTATAATACCATTTCATGCTCATGAAAGGTATAAAAATGCTTCCACATACGTTCTCAAAAACTCAAAATACGGTTCTTTCAAATTTGGGTCATCTCAAATGACCAGCTTACCAAAGTTAATAATTTCATGGATTTAGAGATTGCTTTTGACTCGGCTTTTTCTTCCGTGAACCCTGTGTGCTATTTACTTCCAAAGGCGTATAGCAATTTAGAATTTTTACGTAGATACGGTAAAGATTTTAAAGATCCGTATAGCAGAAAATCTCTTTTTAATGCACTTGTTCGTTCGAAATTAGAGTTTGCTTCAGTAATTTGGAACCCAATTTACAGTTCTCATGCTTGTAGAATTGAACGTGTTCAACGAAAATTTATTCGCTTTGCACTTCAACCGCTTAACTTCTCGGAACCTCTTCCATCGTCTAGTGCTAGGTGTAAACTAATTAATTTGAAATCAGTGGAAGGGAGGAGAATTGTCCAGTCGCNAATTTATTCGCTTTGCACTTCAACCGCTTAACTTCTCGGAACCTCTTCCATCGTCTAGTGCTAGGTGTAAACTAATTAATTTGAAATCAGTGGAAGGGAGGAGAATTGTCCAGTCGCTTGACTGAGTAGGCAATTCAGGAGTAAAGTCCTCTCTCGACGTACGAAAGCCACACTCTATAAGTCACTCATCATGCCCGTGCTGGTACATGGCGCAGAAGCATGGACAATGACAATATGCGAAGAGGCGGCTCTTGGAGTATTCGAGAGAAAGATTTTGCGGAAGATTTACGGGCCTTTACGCGTTGGTAACGGGTAGTACCGCAGTCAATGGAACGATGGGCTGTATGTGCTTTACAACGACATGGACATAATGCAGCGAATTAAAATACAGCGGATCCGCTGGCTGGATCATGTCGTTCGAATGGACACCGACGCTCCAGATCTGAAAGTATTCAACTCGGAACCTGCGGTTGGTAGCAGGGGAACGGGGGGGCCGCCACCGTGCTTTTTGTTAAGAAGTGTTCCTGAAAATATGAGCATACAAATTTGTGTTATTGAATTTGTAAAAGTGTAAAACAATCAAACAGTAAAGTTTTTGAATAGGTTTCGTATTGAAGGAACAACTTCATTTCCCAACACTGATATGAAATGGAAGCACATTTGTCAAATTAGAAAATAGAAATTGCTCGACGTGCAATCACACAACGGTCTAGGCTTGTGTTGCATACACTGTGAAAAGTTCTCTGTGCCAATACTTTTGCAATTTCACAATATTTTCAACTCTAATATGGATTTCTTAAAAAACAATTTTGTTATTTCATTAACGCCTTTTTGAGCTCAATATGTATGCTGATTTGCTAATTATAAATTAATTTAATATTTAATTTTTTGCAGCACACACGATTTGAAAATGGACTGAAGAGGACTTGGGAAGACTTGAAAATTTTTAGAAATACGACTGAAAAATGACTGGGGAAAGACTCGCGAGTGATTTGAATTACAACTGAAAAATGACTCGGAAAAAAGCCCACAAAAGTTTACAAATACGACTAAAAAATTACTCTCAAGTAATTAGAAATGCAACCGAAAAATTACTAGCAAAAGACTCGAAAACGATTAGAAATAGTACTTATTAATGACTCGAGGAAGACTCAAAAGTTCTGAAAAGTTATTCGCACGAGACTCAGAAGTGATTGTAAATACGACTCGAAAAAGTCTTAAAAGTGATCAGAGACGTTGGTAGTAAAAGACTCGCCAAGAAGAGTCGCGGGCAGGGTACCATTCTCTATCGAACAAAGGGTCTTTTGTGATCAGAAAATGAGCGCATTTATGATTATTTTAATCGCACAGAGGACTCAAAAAAGACTCGAATATGATCACTAATTTCATAAAATGCTGGGTGGGTACGTGCGTAATGAAGTTGAAAATATTATTTTTAAATACGAACCTTTTTCAACGATAATCAAATATAAAGTATTAATTTTTACTATGAATTATTTCCCTCAACGTAATTGACGTTGGTCATGGTGAAAATTTTGGTACTAAAAACTGAAAAAAAACATGGATTATCTCGTAAGGTGCTTACCTATTATCCGAGTGGGTAGTGTTTAATCCGACACAATACCCGCTCGCTGCAATCCCAAAACTAGCTAAAACATCAGTGATTCTGGAATATTAAAATTTTAATAAGTTTTCCTGTTTTCTCACATAACTTATATACTGTTTGATATTTGAAAATGGTGTTACAGTAATATATTCTATATAAAATAGTCTTGAAATTTACACCAGAGCTGAATGTGTGCTTTAAAAAAAAACAGTGTTGTAAGTATTCTAAATTTAGCATCTGAAAGGAAGTTTAAGACAAAAATGAATTTGTCTGCTGGCATAAATAATTATTTATCGATAGAAACGGGCTGTTCTACATTGTTGTATAATGTGTTCATAAATCGGTAAGTATACAAACTTTCAGCTAGTTATCAAGGCGAATGTTTTCAAATTCTAATCAATTACGTAGGACCACAAAAAAAAAAAATGATGAAAGGTTAATAAAACCAGACCAGGTTTTAAATGTTTTTGGGATCGCTGAACACGAATCTGAAGTCCGGTTTGCTCTATCACATCAGGATTTGCTTCTAACCTGAAAACACATTGCGAAACTCAATGAACTCTTCCAAAAGGCCTTCTGAAGTACGTCCAATAAAAGCCCTTCTGTAAGGCCTTCTATGGGTAGCGAAAAAAGAATCCTTTCAATTGATGACAGTCCATACAAAAAAGAAAGGATAAAGGAATGTAGAGTGGAAGGCCTCTTGAATCTTAGGAAGGCCTTTACTTTAGGCCTTTAACTGGGTTATAAAGTGATGTATATTTAATACAGCCATGCACGACGAACATTTCTGCGAGCACATTCGCAACTCGCATTCGTCCGTTTAATTTTTTCTGTAGTACCGCATATCCCGCGGATCCCGCATGTGTAATCCCTCATTTCTGATCCCGCAAAAATAAAGCGCGGGACCCCGCATTTGCGGGATTGGATTCCCTACTTGAGAGTATTTGTATTTTCGTTCCCTCTTCTTTCTTCAGAGAAGAATAACTGAAATTTGGCAATGGCCCACTAAAAGCAAAAACCAAATACATGTGTTTGTTTTTGTATAATTGATACCACCTTATATGATTTCGCCTTGCTTTTATTATTGTATCATGTGACAAGATAACATTTTGATTTATTTGGTTATTTTTCTTTCAGGTTGATAACATATTAGTCATAAACCAAGAATTTTTAGCAGATTCTCCTGATTCAATAACATTATCAAGAGGAGATTTAGTGGAAGTTCTGAAAATAAGTGAAGGCAATCCCTTTCCAAAGTAAGAAACGAAAATCGTTTTATTAAAATATTAACTAACAAACAACTCATAATTTTTAGAGGAAAATTACGTGATTTAAATCCTGAGCTCAATTCGAGGTATGAATATAATTTTTACTTCTGATGTGAAAAGCAAAAACTGCTTATGTCGATTTTGGAAACGTGGTAAAACGCTGCATAATTATGTCGTCGATGGTTTTGCAAAACCGCCCATTGGCCCATTCCAAAACTGCCTACATATCTTACGGCACTAAAATTTTACAGGAGAGGGACCAAATGGGTTTTCTTTGAGGCATAGCTTTGAGAGGCGGTATTTTCTCTAGCTATTATTTTACAAATCTACTGTTTTAATAAGGATTTTATGATTTGTATGCATAAATCTCGATGCCTGGAGTTCAGGGTTACCAAATCTCTTTTTTGCCAAAACAGCGATTTAGGCAGTTTTGCAACTGGACGATGGGCGGTATTGCAAAAACATCGTCGAATTACTAGATTTTAAGGCGAAATATTCATTTTGATTTTATAGAATGCTTTCACTTCCTTTCACAAAAATCAGACATAGGCGCTTTTTCCATTTCACCAAATTCTAATACAAACAAAGATTTGAATAGTTTGCAGAAAAAAAAAAATACATTTATTTACAGATGGTACGTGAGATTATTCGGATCAAATGAGAATTGCAAAGAAGGATGGATTCCAACCAAGATATTGGATTTTTCACCCGATTCTGTATCCGTATTTGGCAATAAAGGAGATGATCCCGCATTTCGAAGAATGTAAGTGGTTACTTGTGTGAATTAGGTACTTAGAAATAAACGATTTAGCGTGATAATATTTGTTTTGAGTGAAATGTTTGCATGAAAGCGGGAAATAATTTTTACCCCTTTTGTGAAAAGGTAGCTGAAAATCAGGACGTTAGTAGAGTTATTCATTTTGCATTAATGTATAGTGCTTAACACAACTATACAATACTCACATATTGATTAGTTTAGACTGTTTATTTTATTATTTTTTAATTTTAATATATTTTTTTTGAAATTAAGCTTCTTAGGCGGCGGCATTGCAAAAAGGGAGAGTGAAATTTTTAAAACTGAAAATGTTAGAGAATATATAGCATAGAGAAAGGAAAAAAAGAAAGAAAGTGACTTATGCATAAATAGCGATACAAAGCAAGAGCACAAACATCTTCAACGCGCATGAATACGAGTACCTATATACATATGTTTGTACGTACATATATATGTTATAGTGTAAGCTAAAGCGTACAATTATTTTTTGAGAGCGGTAGTAGATTCTGCTTTTCAAAAATTATTCAGCTAAAAATTTGGAAAAGATGTGAAAGAATTCTTTGCAGTTAAAATTATTTCGGGAAAAAACTCTGTATTTTAAAATTATGGATTATTTTGGACCAAAATTCTGTATTTTTACATACATATATGTATGTATGTCCTGCAATTTCGCAATCAATGGGGCTGTTCAGGATCTTGCGTTTATGCTTTTGCATTTGCATATTCGGTGCATTTGTAAAAATTACAGTAATAAAATGCAAACGATTGCCATAGTAACAAGCAATAAATTTGCAAATGCAAATCCAAGACTATTTGCACAAGATCCTGAACAGCCCTAATATTTCACCAACTTCCAGATGAGCTAGAGACCTGAAAATTCACACTTAGCTCATAACCCGATGACAATGCAGTAAAATAAAATGTCCGCTAGGTGGCGTAGGAGGTAGATATTTGGGAAACTAGTATTTATGATCCTATTTGGTTCATACTTATAAAGCTTGTTTTAAAATACATGTTTACTATTAACTTATTTGATACTGAAATTAAAACAATGTTACTCTGTTCTTAAAGAAAAGTAATGGACAAAAGAAATTAATAAATAATTAAATTTTTAGCAACTCTTTAAAGACAACAAATATGATTTGAGTCTAGTCTTTTTTATAAGCTTTTATTTAACTTGGTCATCCCGCGTAAATCGCGGAAATTTCCAATCGATTTTAAACTGACTTCCCGACAAGTTAGAGACTTGAAATTTTCAGCATAGTTCCAATCACGATGACACTGCAATTTAAAATGTAGATGAATTCTCCATATGGTCCAGGGGTCTTGATTCAAAGGCGGTCAAAAAATAGTAAGATTTATGGCTAACAAAGCTTAAGTTGCCAAAGAACGTAAAACCACTAAACATTTTTAAAGCTGCCGGCGCGCCGCGGCGCACAGTGTTTCGACTATATGCAGACAGATGGAAATAATACAACACCTGCACCGATTTCACTGACTTGACATGTGCTCTAGTTTTATTTAGAAATAGAGAATTATGAAATTTTGTAAAGATGGCATAATTGCCACGCCTTCTACTCTTGTGGGCGGAAACATTAAATTTCATCCAATTTCGATGAAATTTAGTTTGTACTCTCTCTTTTATTAGAAACACCTAAATATAAAGTACGGGGAAGATTGGATCACTTTAACGACCAAAGCTCAAAAAATATGTGGGCCCAGTCATTAAATGTGATGGAATTTTGGTTAATTTTTGCTTCTTGCTTTCCACTCTCAGAAAACAAAGGTTATACTATAAAATGACTAGGGTGTAAATACTCGCTTTTTCCCCAATATTTGGTGAGATTTTTTCACTGTTCGAAAAATTATTTTCGCGAAATTATGCAAAAAGAAGCTGAAAATCAAAAATTGAGAAAATCAAAAATTACATATTTTGCAAAGTCGCGCGCAAAGATCAAATTATATCTTCGAAAACTACATAAAATTCTCTAAAACATTCGTCTAATTTCAAGACCTGACGGACCGGTACTCACACTTTTTTTTTACTAATAATCTTTAGCATCTACATTTCAAAGTAGATTTTTTGGTAAGCAAATAGGAAAGTACCAAATAAATGATAAATACCTTCACCTGAATATTCCACGACATTTAAATAATTGATTACAGTTGAAAAAGAAACACTTTCTTTAATGGGTTAATCGCCAAAGGCAACTAAACTGATTAGTCGGTATCGCACCCATTCCCATATTTTTTTTGGAAATGTATCATTCGTGAAGAAAGGGCGTGAGTAAATAATGTAAAATTTGCTATTTATGACCTTTACTTTTCCATCTCTGAGCCCAACTGATTTTTTGATCAACTGTCACCATGACTTTTTTCTACCTGCCTCCTCATAGTCGAAACACTGTGCGGCGGTAGTGTAGCAAAGCTATTCCTAGTCTAGATATGAACCTCGTTGTAGGCATCATATCATTTCTTTAAATAAAATTAACTGCTGCTATATGTACATATGTATGTTTATACAAAACGTAAGCAAACAACATTTTGCTTGCCAAGTCTTCTGTTCTCGTTCATTGCAAGTGGAATTATTTTAATATCTATTGCACAATTTTGTGCATAAAATAAAATAACACTTTTTAATATACAACGCTTTTATAAATGGACTAAAAATTATAAAATAAAATAATGTTAAAAAAAATATTTTTTAAAAACATGCTTTTATTTAACCTGTACAATCAAAGGAATGAAATGAAGTAGTGTAACAAAAGATTTTTTAGCAAGAAAATTTTGTCAAAACTGCACCAAAATAAATAAAATAAAATAAGTTAAGATCGTTAAAGTTACTAAAAGCCATTTAGTGAAAGGAGTTATTCAAACTCTAATGAAAATTACTAACAATTTGTACTAATTTACTTCGTTTTTAAAGAAGCTTGTCGGCGAATTCAGCGTACATGCATAATTGGTTAGGTATGAATGTATATGTATGTATGCAGATATTTAAATGCAGGTTTGCTATTCGCGCGACAAGCTTTTTTAAAAACGAAGTAAATTAGTACAAATTGTTAGTAATTTTCATTAGAGTTTGAATAACTCCTTTCACTAAATGGCTTTTAGT